GGGGGCTGGGCGGCGGGGGCGCTGGTGCCCGCCTCTTCTTCCTCTGCAGGTCCACCTGGGAGCCCAGGGACATCTGGGAGCACAAAGGACACTCAGTGTCAGGGCGGCTCTGGCCGGCGCGGAGCTCGGGGTGCCCACAGGGGGAGCCCGCTTGTGGGACACGGTGTTCCCGGGAGGGCAGTGCAGGCTTCCGTGTCCCCAGGAGGGGCCCTGGGGTGACCAGGGAAGCTCACAGACGCCCCCCAAGACCCCTCTGCGCTCGGGGCTGTGCCCATCTCTCACAGGGAGGCCTGACAAAGCCGGAAGTGGGGTGACGTCTCAGCAAGCGATGAGAAAGGGCTCCTCGCCCTCCACCAGCTGCCAAGGAAAACTGCTCCTCCAGAGGCTGCGCGAGTGCTGCCCGGCGGTGCCCGCGGCAGAAGCACCGAGTAACACCCATCGACTTCAAACTTTATTTTTTATTTAAAAATATGTGTATTGATTTCAGAGAGAAAGGGAGAGGGAGAGAGAGAGAGAGAAACATCAACGATGAGAGAGGATCATGGATCGGCCGCCTCCTGCACGCCCCACACTGGGGATGGAGTCCCCACCCCAGGCACGTGCCCCTGACCGGAATGGAACTGTGACCTCCTGGTTAGTTGACACTCAACCACTGAGCCACACCAGCTGGGCCAATTTCAAATTTCAAAAATTATATAAGCCAAAGGAAGAAGAAAAACCCTTTCATTAACACTCAGTTTAATAGTCGGCATACATTTTCCTGGTCTTCAGTTTTTATTTTAAAAATCATATTTTTTCTTCTTTCTATCATCGTTATAACCACCTCTTGGACCTTTAAAACTCTATAATCTGTTTTATGTAAGACACGGACATAAGAAAGTTCCTCAAAGCCCCGCTCTGACCAGCAGTCCCTTGCCCACAGCCCGGGCTCCGGCCCCCACCCCTTCAAACTCTGTTCCTTTGAAATCCACTCTATTTTCATAAACAGTAAGTGTATTTGGCTATTTCCTGACTGTTTCCTGCTGCAGGATTGAGCTCTTTGGGACACACACAGACGCAGACAAACACACCCACACGCCATCCCCAACCCCGATCTTTTAAAAACTGCAGCACGAGGTTGAAATTCACGATTTAGTGATCCACGTACCAACGACCGGGGCGCGCGGGGGGGACACGCGGCTGGGTGCACAGTGAACGGAGGAGGGACCTCTTTCCTCTCTGTTCTTTGCGGGAATGACCTGCGCAGAGGCTCATGGGAAAGCCCTGGACACCCCTGGAGACACGGGCCCTGCGTGTCTGGGACACACAGGTACCGGCCGCGAGTTGGGGTCCCACAGCTATTTCCGGCCCCCGGGTGAGGTGCTGTTTTACCAGGTGGACAGAACGTTTCTACCCACATGGCCTCGCCGGCCGCTGTATGGGCACAATCTAGCTTCAAGGAAAACCGGGGAGATATTCTGCAACCGAAGAGCGAACAAGAGAGGGACGAACGAGTCAGAAGTAAAGGAAAACCAGGCCCTCACAGGAACATGTGCAGGACCAGCGGCTGGGGACATTCGGACAGGCCGACACCGCCGGCCGAGGATTGACACATAAAGGCCTTTGCCGCCTCCCGGGGACCAGGGGGCCCGGGAAACAAAGCCTGCTGCGATGGGTGTAAGTCCTAAAGGAAGTGCGCCCCGAGTCCAGGGCCCTGCTCCGGGGGGACAGCGAGTCGGGCAGGACAGCGGAGGTGGAGGCGGAGGGGCAGCTCCGGCGGCGTCGTCAGAAGCGCTTGGCGTGACTAGGGAATGACGCACAGCAGTAAACTGTGGGGACAAACGGCAGAGTGTGAACGCGCCCGGGGCACCCCGCCCTCCACATGCAGCCTCGGGCCCGGGGCCTCGGCAGCGCACACAGAGCCCCCGGCGTTTCTCCTCCGGGCGTCTGCGAAGGGGCTAAAGGGCCGGGACCGGCAGACACAGCCTCGCCGCCCTCCTTCTCCTTCGGGCTGTCGGACAAAAGTATCTGCACTCGAGAGGGAACCCTCAAGTCCCTGCTGGCAGAGGCAGCAGCCGCGGGCTGTCACCGTGGCCAATTTCCGTGGTGTAAATGCTCCCTCCTGTCGGTCCCCAGCTGCCGGTGGGGCTGGCAGAGGGCGCGGCCGCAGACTGCGCTGCGGGATCCCGCCGTTCTCTGTACCATCGAACCGTGTGGACTCAACACGGAACTCCGGCCGAGAGCACAGACACAGGGAAAGGCGGGGACAAGATCAGGACGAGGCACGTTTCCAGTGTTTGTTATCTTTGTTTTTTTGTTATTTTTAAAATTATGTTTTAATCCTCCCCGGAGGGTATTTTTCCATTGACTTTTAAAGAGAGTGGAAGAGAGAGGGAAAGACAGAGAGAAAC